CCGAAATCTTGTAAAAAAGAACAAAATGTAAACAGTGATACAGCTCCTAATATCAAGACTTTCTCTATTGGTACCTAAATAAAACAATAATATTATATTTTTTTTAAATTTTGACATTTTATTGTTTTTAATTATTATTAAATTATTATTTTGTTTTACTATGAACTTTCAATTGAACAACAAGACTGTACATTATTTGCTGAACAAAAATCTTGTACAAAAGAACAAAATGTAAACAGTGATATAGCTGCTCTTAATATTGAGACTTCCTCTATTAGTAAATAAAACAATAATATTCTATTTTTTTTAATTTTGACATTTTACTGTTTTTATTCATTATTAAATTACTATTTTGTTTTACTTGAAACTTTCAGTTGAATAACAAGAGTGTGAATTATTGGCTGAACCAAAATTTTGTACAAAAAAACAAAATGTAAACAATGATATTGATATAACTTTTAATATCGAGACTTCCTTTATTGGTATGTACCTAAATATAATAATAATTTCTAGTATACTAGTAAACTATTTAAACTAGATGGGTAAAACTAACTAATAAACTAGCTGGGTAAGGTAGGCAGTAGCGATCACTAGTATTTATAACGTTTTAAAGATTAAAGTATGAAACAATGATATTTCATAAATATTCTATAAAAAATTCAAATTTCTTATGAATTATTAACTATTTATACTTAAGTTTTTAAAAATATATTTTATATTTTTATCGAACATATAAATTGATAAAATTATATTTGTTCAGAATCTCTCTCTTTAGACTTGAACAGTTATGATCCAATTACATTTGTTAAGAAAAAGTTATCACTGGTTGGAAAATTGGCAATAATTTCTAAAGGACCCTTCCAGCCTAAAAAGGAAACAATTTTCCTCAAAAATATGGTCATCGCTTTACCGAAAATAATTACTGGATGAAAGTTACTGGTGATGATCGTGTACATTGAGATTGGTTGACCTACTCCATCACAAGAAATCAATTAATATACTTAATACTTATATTGTATGTTTTTTGGTGATAAATATGCACAAAAAAGTTGGATAGAAGATGGTTTTCAAGGTTGGAACAGACTTGGTGATATTGGTTTGCATGAGAAATCAAGTTGTCATATTTATGTATCAATAATTGTTAAATTAAAACAGAACTATGTTGCCATTTTACCATCGTTAGAGGAAAAAAAAAAAGGAGAAGAAGTGGCCATAAACTGCAGAGACGTAGTGAATACATTGGTAGAAATTACACAGTTTATCAGGAAACATTATCTTTCATTTAGAGATCACCTTGAAGATTGGTCTGAGGCTAATAAAGGTAATTTTTAAGATTTAGCAGAACTAATTAGCAAATGGTCACCTACGTTGGCTATACATATTGAAAAAAATAAAAAATAAAGGAAGAAAAGAAGTGAATTTTAAAAGTGGAGCGAAAGCAACTGGTTTAATTGAATATTTACTGTCTGAACGATTTTTCTTAGTGCATTTTTATATATTGATATTTTCTGTATTGTGGATCCTTTAACAAGAATACTACAATCAATTAATATTAATATTAATATAGGTACAGTAAAAAGTTTACATTTAGTAACTGATAAAATAAAAGAATTGCGAACAGACAATGCATATACTTTGTAAAAAAAGTGAAAAAAATCAGATGTGGAGTTCTCGCCATTACCCATTCATCGTTCAAGAAAGAAAAAACGATTACCAAGTGAGAAAATTGAAAATAACCCTATTACTGATCCTAAATATGAATTTAAAATTAAAACATACTTTGTTTATTTAGACACAATTATTAATCCTATTAATGACAGATTTACTTCTAAATCTCAAAATGTATTAAAAGATATTTCTCTTTTTTCTACTAAACGATTAAATGAAGTAAAATGTACAAACTCTGTTTTACCTAAGGATGCTTTTAATTCATTTTGTGAAATATATTCAAAGTTTGTACAACTGAATGAGTTAAAAAAAGAATATGTGCACTTTGCCAATTATTTTTCTGAGTTTACTAACGTCATGAATTGGTGGTATTCTATACAGGTTATTAAATATTTCTATTAATTAATATATTATTGCTCCCATTGTGAGTTTTGGCGTAAGTATTAAATTTCCGATTGGGTACTGATTTTCATATAATTAGGTCCATTCATTATAATATAAATAAATAATCAAATTATATAAAAAAAAACCATAAAAACTTAATGTACCTAGGTAAATTTTTTTTTTAAATAGTATACTCTTTTATTTACTCATGTCAACATTATTGTTAAGAACCTAGCTACTTGTATGGAGTACCACAATTTATTTTCTATCATCACCTATAGGGACTATCTCGTGTACCATAACCTATTCTGAGTTCTATATTTCTATCAGCTGAAATGGTTTGAAATCGCCTTGAAACTCTTTAATAAATTCATACCCAGAAATGATGTTTAATAATTCTTTATAATCAACTGCAGTATCGAATACTTTTGCAAAATCTGGAAGTACAGCAATAGTTTTTTTGTTAATCTATTATCAATAGTGAATCATAAATATATATTTTAATGCCATGTATAAATCATCAGCTGTAAAGTTCCTAATTTCGGTCTAACACCATATTTATTTTTCAAAAGCAAGTTTATTATACTATTTCCAAAAATGTTTAAACACTTGGATTTAGATCTTTTTCAAGGATCTTTGCAAAATTACTGATAAATGGTTTTGGCTTGTAATTATTTAATATTTATTTATCCCCATTTTTAAAAAATGGTTAAACAATATAGTTACTGTTGTAAACTGTGATGGAAATATTATTATATACCTACTAGTTTCTTTTAAACTTGTGTAATATATATATATATATATATAAATATAAGTGAGAATATAATATACATTTTACTAATAATTTGGCAAAATATATTGCTGTTTCATCTTTTAAGTTATTATTTTTATAACATAATTATTAGATCTTCATTATTGTTAACAGATTTAGTAAAAAATAAATCAAAGGTAATTGACTTCACCATATGAACTGGTTTAATAAATTTCTTAGATAAATGTGTGGAGACCAATTAATTGTAATGAAATACTCATTAAATGCATTAATTGATTTACCATATTATGAATATCTATATTATTTTATTATTAACAGCTAGGTAAGCTCTTATTCTTATACTATATATTATTATAAAAGAAGATTAAAATAAAATAATATACATTTTCAAGATTAAATAGGTACTTATTATTTTAGTATATTGTTTATTTCATGTTACATTTTAAGTTTCAATTTAATTTGCAATTTCCATTTAAAATAATAAAATATATATTTTTAATCGATCAATAAAAAAATTAAATTAAATTAAAATTATTAATATTGAATAAATTATTAATATCAACCAAAAATGAATATTAATTTACTTTAGTTATTTAAAGTTACATTATAATTTTATTATTAAATAAATAATGAGTTTTAAACCCAACATTTTAAATTTTAAGATTTATTCAATTTTTAATCGTCTTAATAATTAAATATTGTCAAGCCAATAGTTATTCATAACTATAAAATATTTTGGTTACAAGGTGAAAAATAAAATATGCCATCAATAGTTTATTAACTTTTAAATTTAAATATTTTAAAACCAATTCAAATTTTATATTTATACAATTGTTTTGATTGACAAATTCTGTGTGGTAATTTATACCCTTTTGTAATGACAACAATAAATTAATTTATTTCCAATTGTAATTTGTAGTTAATTGGTATTTTACATTTCGTTCAAACTATAATAATAGTACCTACCGAAACACAATATTGTTAACTGCAATTAAAGAATTTGACTATTATTTCACGGGAAAAAAATATTTTTGTGTACTATTGAAAACGTTATATCATACAGATTTAGGAAACATAGGTACACAAGCTTGGTAACTTTCTTAAGTTGGTAATAAATTTATTATCATAGAAATATATTGTATATTAAGACACTAAAATAATACATTTAAATTGTTTATAAATTTAAAATTAAAACAACAACAAATTGAAATCATTAACCAATGTATATACATTGATATTTATTACTGTACAGTAAGCAGTAGGTACTTGCTGTCGTGTGCAAATCATTGTTGAGTAAGTAATAACTGTAAATTACTGTAATGTACTCATGTACCTATGTGTTGAATTTTGAATTCAATGATGATTGATAAAATCATTGCATACAAAATACAATTCTGAGAAGACAGTGACAGTCTATCAGTTCAGGTATCTATCTATAGTAAAGTTGTTTGTGATTTTTAAATAAAATGTTATATTACTTATATTTTGTTATTTATTATTATAATGAGCAGGTACCTAGGTTTAAATTGTTTTTCTGATCACCCTCTCCCTCATACAACAATTATGTATATGACAATTGACATTTCTGACAAATGAAATATCTTTTGTTCTAATCAATTAGTATTTTTTTTTTTCATAATAATATATAATTTACTGACTCTTGAGATACATATTATATAATATAACATTTTTTATTTTAATTTTATAATACTGAAAATTCAAAATTCAAAATAGCTAACTTGTAAATCTAAGCACGTGCCATCATACTTGATTTTTATTTCTTGGTATAACCGCATTAGTAGGTACGGTGTGTGGTCATAAATAATATATTACTATATTAATTAAACACTATAGTAATTTAACCTTATTAGGTACTACAATTTAACTCAGTAGTCATTTTTGTAAATAAGAAATAATAAAATAAACAAAACAGTATTCATCAGTTATATCCATAGTACACAGCACGATTTATTGTAAAATGTATTGAATTAATATTTTACAGGATAATCTCTTATAAAATAGTTTGATATAAAAAATAAGAAAAAGGAAGTTTAGTGGTTGGCAATCTATTTTTTTTTTCTGTAAGTATTTATTTTATGGACATTTTAATAATAATTCAATATTTATTATCCATACAAGTAATGGAATGCAGATTAAATGTATTCCAGATGTATTTCTATAAACCATACTTCTGAAATTCCCAATCTTTGTTATCAAGTGGACATACTTGACGAGTTGTTAACCAACGAGATATGCAGTGAAGATGAAAAGCATGATTACATGTGCCCCATGCAACTGTACATTCTTCTTTAGACGCTGAATCTTGATTGGATTGACATTCAATACATAAGTCCATGATTTTATTACGACAAATGGCACAATTGTCCACAGCAATGTCCCAAGCCCATAAAGCAACAGCATTCCATTTCTTTATTTCAAATAATTTCTTTCTTTTAGGACTTCCAGTAATTGATGATGAAGCTTTAACATCTTTATCTTCTTCCATATTTCCTATTTTAACATTTGTTAAAAACACAATTCAATAAAAATAAATACATTTTTAAAAATAATAAAATTTTAAATGACATGTTTTGGCAATTGTAAGCTATACACTTTCAAATTTTAAGTAAGCATTCAGCCATAAACGACATACCATCTTAAATATAAAATAGAAAAGACATCTACAGTTATACACAAACATAACATAATATTTTGAATATACCTATTTAAAGTAAAGATAAGTAATATCCACCTAGAACATAGATTGGATCATGTATTCATGTATTCTTTACTAAAATTGTGAAAATAACATTTTTGTATAAAATTCATATTGTTTCTATCAGGGTACATTAAAATCTAAATCTAGAAAAAAAAATTTAAATCCAGTAATGAGTATGAGATGCTGTTTTAATGATTTATTCAAAGCTATCTAAAGAAATAATCATTTATAATCAACCCCAAGAAAAAACATTTGCATTTCAGTTCTAACCTCTGTTCCAAATAAGAAAGGAACACAGAATACCATTGCATATGAAATTTTAGCAACCTCACACAGTCGGTCCCATTCAAAGCCCCAACATTCTAAGGTGATAATCGTCCATTATTGTCTGTTTGATGCACGAACCTGTACTAGTTTTTGACAAGAACGGTTCCCATTCTTATTTGGAACATCATAGTTTGAAGTTTCCAACAACCTATAATTATATATCTACTAAGGCAATTATAACTAAATATATAATGTTAATCATAATCATAATAATCTTAATGTTTGTAAAATTTACAATTTAATACTAATGATATCAAAACATAAGAGTTTAACATACCTACAATCGTTAAAATGTGAAAATAACTCTGTACTTATATAATTATATTATGTTTCTATAAACAATGTTAAAGTATAAGAGACAAGACTATACACAAACCAATGTATCAAATTTTCTGGTGTTCAGGAATACAGAAAAGATTGTTTTGTTTGATGATGATGATGCAAATTATGATGCATATTATAAGCAAAATGAATAAATTACAAGTAAGGCAATAAAACAATAATAATTGAATAATCTGAACAAAATAAATATTGTTTACACAATAAACCATGTAATCACAATGTCATGAAGAAAAAATAAAAGTCATAAATTCGCTTCTGATAACGTCCCGAAATGAGTCTCACGATTAAACGGCCACAGGCTGCGCTGCGTACGATAAGGTTGATGCTTTAACCTACAAAGTTTAGGGATTATTCATGTTTTTTTTTTTTTGGAAAATATATAATTGTTTTTATTACTCTATGCTACTAACCCTTTTAAGATTTTATAGCTTGTACGATTACGCATTTATATGTGCATAATATGTGTATATTTCACAAACATTCAACATTCTTAAGAAACAAATAATTTGAGTGTAACAATACATATCGGCAGGGTCGGATTTTACTGAACTTTTTAAGCCCACTTTCCCCTGTCAGCAGATGTTTGGGGGTATCCGGATGCCTGAATACTATATAAAAAAAATTTTAGACGTTTTGTCTCTCGGTTTAGGAAATTTATGAAAAAAAATATCAACTTCGTAAATAAATAGTAATTGATTAAGTAGTAGGTATTTATATAATTTTTGCTGCAAACATGGGGGGGGATGACATTGGGGTGCAATAATGGAATCGTAATAATGGAATCGTAAAAAGACGCATTTGTTATAATTTCTAATTATTCAGAATTTTTGGTATTTGCTTTGGTAAAATCAAATTTTGACCTGAAAATTATGACCTGAAAACGTAATATTTATGATAGGAAAACAATATAACAATATTTCTAAAATGTGTATGCTACCACATACCAAATATTAAATGTTAGGTGCTCCATTATACCCCAGGTTACTCTATAGCTGTGGTTATTGTGATGATCAGATTTACATCGATTCAGTTTTTTTCTCCAAAATCATTTGTTTTCGAAACCTTAACAACTTTTTTTGTTCAACATTTCATTTTAACTTAAACCTACGACTAGAGTAATTAGTAAAATGGACGAAATTTTTGAAATAATTGATTTTGTGCAATTTATAAATGAAGATGAAGATCGTATAGTTAGAAGGTACATTAGAGACTATGAAAAGCCTATGGAATTTTTTACTTCAATGCAATTTTACGAAAGATATAGATATATAATGTATTAGAACCCATAGTAAGACGTGCATTCATTATAAGACATTTTTGTGAAAAAAAAATTACAAAGAAATAAATCAATTTCTTGTAATCAATAATAAACAATTTTTTTTTTTTTTTTATTAGGGTTAAGGCTTCGACAACTTAGGTCATTAGCCTGTGGTACTGTAGGGGAGGGTATTTTTTACACGTGTGTGTTTGTGGTGGCAGAATTTTTATTGGGGCACCCGTAGGTTTCTGCCATGCCCCTGAGTGGGGGGGATGGCGGCACTTGTTTTCCGGACACCGTGACTTGCCCGGAGAAAAATGCCGCCCGGCGGAGAATCGAACCCGCGACTGCCAGCGCCACAGCCGACGCGTTAGACCGCCCGGCCACCTCGTCCCCCCTAATAAACAATTAATAAAAGCATGCAGTATTGTTAAATTTAAGTAAAAAAAAAAATTACAAAAAATAGGTAAATCAATTCTTGTAAATAAAACAAATAATAACAGCTTACTAGCTAACAGTCTTTTTTAAAAATTACAAATATCAAGTTACAAATAATTATCAAGTAGAATTTGATATGATTCAATTTTTAAAAGTTATCTTTTATTTTTTTATTTCTAATGCAAGTTTTTCACACGGCAACTTATACAATTTGTTTTCTTCAAATCGCTTAGCAACTATTGATTGCATAATAAGTTTTTGGTTTAATATATAAAATTAACAGTTACAGTTAACCGTTACAGTTAAAGCGTTGAATTCCATTATTTTATAAAATAGGTACCTATGTAGTTTAGGAATTACCTACAAATGTCAGTTAAAGCATAACCAAATATAGCAGCTACCTATATATTTTATACTTGATATAAAATTTTTTTTAAATATATCTTATCTAGATATTTAGATAAATTATTCAAATCGATACTTTTCGGTTTTAATAAAACAGTTTGATGTATGTATTTTTATTTCATTTTATTTTACTTGTCATTACTCATTAGTCATTTGTTATTAGTTACTAACACAATAAGTCGGTAACACATTCTTATCGGCAATCGTAAATAATATATTAATATGTATGAAATATATTATTATTACTATTGTAGTTTAAATTAAACATTTAAAATTTGTGTTTATTTCAGTATAATTATTTAAGTAGGTACTATTTTTAAATATTAAATGCTAAATTCAAACGAGTACACGAAGTAGGTATTATTATTTACAATATAAGAAGCTACTTAGCAGCTAATAGCAGTGATTTATTATTTTATAATTATGTAGGCATGTATAATATCTATTTTAACTAGTTCTCTAGGTATATTGCCCATTAGCAAGGCACATCATAATTTAATTATGTTTTTATAAAAATGGTAGAATCATTGGCCTATTGTGTGTAATTATAATTGTTATATACAATTTATCTTAATTTTATCTAAATTAAATTATTGTTTATAATTATCTTTTTCTAGGTAAAAAATAAAATCTGGTTATTTCCATCTTTATCTAAATAAATTATTAGTTATCTATTCCCAACACTGGTGATGCAGTAATACCATTGAAATACAATATTAAGGGAATTCGATACCTTGTTTTTCTGTTTTTGTCGAATTTATATCTGTGAATCTTTTACAATATGACCACATGGAGAATGAACTATGATAGGAACATTTGTAGCGTTTTCCATCTGGCTGCACTAGTGCACACTACACGCGAACACTGATACTATAACACAGTATTACATGATTTTCCACTTCCACACGGCCAAAATTCAAGGTGTCGAAAAGTGTACACCAGTGTACACTCGCGCAGGCAGATGGAAAACGCTATTCAATAGCAAAATATACTTTGATTATTTTTCTCCAGAGAACACTGAATGGAAAGTTGACATATAATGGTGATTATAATTAGTTATGCTTATAAATCATCTGTTGCTTATATACTTAAGTTTGTTGAGCTATAATAGTGGTGTACCTACTGAACACTATAGAAAAATCATTGGTTAGCAATCTTTAGTTTATAACAACTTGAAAATTAGACTTAAACTTTAAAAATTATTACTCAAATTTTCAGTTTTTAGGGGCGTTTTAATGAGTTTCAAATGCTCTGTATTATTCGAGGTATTACCTAAAATATTTCAAAATATTACCTAATAAAATATTTGCTATGGAAATAAAATTATATCCTGGCTTAAGCAATTGTATCACCTACGATACATTGCGTATTAAGGTGCGTTGTTGTGTTTAAATTATACATAGGTATGTTATTTTACAAAAAGTTGTCTAATGCGTAATGTAGGAGATACATTTTAGTACGGTTCAATGCGCGTTGCATTATGGGTGATACAATCATAAAAACATAATAAATAGTGTACTTTTTGTGACAGCGGTAGTTTTTAGTGCTAAATATGATCATTAGTGGTATGGGATTATGCATAGACCTATAAACAAATAATGGACAACACTTAGAGAGAGAAGTCAGGAGTACGATATAGAGTGAGAGAGACAAGAAACAAAGTAGTAAATTATGGCGTGATTACTGTTAAACAAAAAATTAAGATATATCTTAGTCCGTGGCACGATTAAAGATAGTATCTATATAAATTCGTGGTAAACTCCAACTGTGTTAAGCCTCTACCACTAAGCGCTGAACCTCCTTCGAATAATCCCTCAGGTCCGGGAAGTTAGCGGAAAAATGTGAGCACTAATTTCCGCTATACCACCACTATTTAGTGCTCAATTAGTGCTATACAACCGTTGCGTTTTAAAAATTAGTGCTATACCCAGTAAAAAGTTACAGGGGGGGCTTACCTTTCTCCGCTAACTTCACGTAGCGGGTTCAACACCAGCACCAAAATTTAGTGCTGAATTAGTGCTATTCGATGCTACCGTTTTCAAAATTAGTGCTATGTTTCCCTTCGAGTTATGCGATTTTCCGCATTTCGTCCCAGCGGGTGCACTTTTAGCACCAAAATCCGCTATAACACCAAAAAAAGTGCTGAATTAGTGCTATTCGATGGTACCGTTTTCAAAATTGAACCGTACTATAATGTATCTCCTACATTACGCATTAGACAACTTTTTGTAAAATAACATACCTTTGTATAATTTAAACACAACAACGCACCTTAATACGCAAAGTATCGTAGGTGATACAATTGCTTAAGCCAGGATATAATTTTTTTTCCATAGCAAATATTTTATTAGGTAATATTTTGAAATATTTTAGGTAATACCTCGGATAATACAGAGCATTTGAAACTCATTACAACGCCCCTAAAAACTGAAAATTTGAGTAATAATTTTTAAAGTTTAAGTCTAACCTTCAAGTGTTAATTCTTTTCTCCTAGCTACCTTCGCGTATCGTTTGCAATATGCCCCAATAACAGTCAAATCTATAATGATAACAGTGGCGATATGCAAGTATAATACTGGACAAAAATATTCCTCCACGGTATAGCCCAAAACAATTACTTTCTCTCTCAGTTATGTCGTCTGGGTGAACCAATGGCAGGGAGGAATTGGAACCGCTGTCCATTTATTTACAAGTCTACGATTTTAACTCATCAAAATATTTTGTAATAATACAGAAGGTCCCTTGAGGATATAGCCATTAGCCGTAGAGGTTGACTCGCCACCTAGACAAAAACCGGTTTACCTATGAACTAAAAATTTACTAAAAATCATGAGATTAATGAAAATAAAATGTTTATAATTCAAAATGTTCACAAAAATAAACTTTAAAATGACTATCTTCAATTGTTTCAAAACTAAAAAATAAATTTTTTTAACTTTTTTAAAAAACGAATTAATTAAATGAAAAAATGAAAAATGTGTAAAAACAGATCTATGACATATTTATTATCTCAGAAGATATCGCATTGGTTGAATCCTCGTAGGACACTCTCTATGTTATTATCATATTTGTAATAAACCGTAATAAATACTTAACAAAAATTAAAAATTAAATTCCCAGGGTTTTGTCTAAAATAGGTACAAAATAAATACACAATTAATCATAATTATAAATGATAAGTGCAAATCTTAACAAAAATAATAAAATCTAATACATACCTCAGTGAAGTAGAGCATAGTACAACTAATAATACACAAATAAAAGTAAAGTTAGCAAAATATTTTGTATGGTATAATTAAATACAAAACAAATTTAATAAAAACAAATTATTGAGAATAAAAGTTATAAAACACAATATTGAATTCAAATTAAAACTTAAAATAATTTAAGGAATAAAATAATAAACACATCATTACTCAGAGGAAAATTTAGAATAATTTTGAAAACGGCACCACCGAATAGCACTAATTCAGCACTAAATTTTGGTGCTATAGCGGATTTTAGTGCTGGTGTTGAACGCGATGGGACGAAATGCGGAAAACCCCATAACTCGGAGGAAAATATAGCACTAATTTTGAAAACTGTACCATCGAATAGCACTAATTCAGCACTAAATGTTGGTGCTATAGTGGATTTTGGTGCTGGTGTTGAACGCGATGGGACGAAATGCGGAAAATCGCATAACTCGAAGGGAAACATAGCACTAATTTTGAAAACGGTACCATCGAGTAGCACTAATTCAGCAATTAATGTTGGTGCTATAGCGGATTTTGGTGCTGAAGGTGCACCCGCTGGGACGAAATTCGGAAAATCGCATAACTCGGAGGAAAACATAGCACTAATTTTGAAAACGGCACCATCGAATAGCACTAATTCAGCACTAAAATTTGGTGCTATAGCGGATTTTTGTGCTGGTGTTGAGCCCGCTACGTGAAGTTAGCGGAGAAAGGTAAGCCCCCCTGTAACTTTTTACTGGGTATAGCACTAATTTTTAAAACGCAACGGTTGTATAGCACTAATTGAGCACTAAATAGTGGTGGTATAGCGGAAATTAGTGCGCACATTTTTCCACTAACTTCACGGATCTTAATCCCTCTTTGATTTGCGAAGCTTGTCAGATCAACCGTATTCTAAATGAACTCCGGTCCATCAAATCGCAGCAAATTAAATCTGATGAGCTCTTGAATGGCATCTCCTCATCTATGGCAGCTTTAAATGATAAGGTTGTACAACAAGGAAAGAACATATCTGCTCTTGGCCATTCGATCAACATGTTCGGCAAGCAACTTAACACAGTTACTAATGATGTTAAATCTCAGGGCCAACTCATTGGAGGACTTGAAACCCGTATATTAGCCGCTAAAAAGACTTTATCGAATATCGCTGCGTCCCCATCCACAACCGAAAGTACACGATCCATTAATAACATTGCTAGAGAAGTACAACTGAGGACACTGCTTGCTGTGAACCTAATCATTCGGGGTGTACCAGAATCTCCTAACACATCTATATCTGAAAGAATCACCCATGATAAAAAATTTGTTTCTGACATTTTTGATAAACTTAATCCTCCTGTTCCGGTTGAGTCCATACTCAGAGCCTTCAGAATAGGCAAAACTGCCGATAATAAGCCATGACTACTGAAATAGTACTTTCCTCCCGGGCAGCAGTTGATTCTGTGGTCACGACTTTCCCTAAACTGCAAATCAATCCACCTGATCATCTCCGCTCAGTCTCCATCACCCGTGATCGTACATAATCTGAACGTCAATCAATACGAGAGGTCTATCAAGAACTTAGTACCAGGCGAGAAAGAAGAGAATCCAATATCTCGATCCGATACCACGATAGAATTTCTAAGATTATACCAGTTACTATCGACCCAAACAATGGAAATCGCCAGCAACGTCCAACACCCAAAGAATCTTAAAAAGCCATCACCTCACCCTCCTTGGACCAAAAGTGTTTTCATCACCGTTGATTGTCAATACACAATGGTAAATACTACTTGTCCCGATTGTACGTTATGCACTCGCGCCTTATCAACCATTAATTGTTATTATGATTTTGTGAATAATATTATTTTACCTCCCAATAACTTAAATGCTTTAAACAGTATAAACCACCCATTGTCTAAAAACTCTTATGCCAATAACCCGGTTGTTTATTCTTCCATTAGCGAACATTTATACACACATCATAATAGTTATACTTACTTATGTAATCATGATACATTTTCTAAAACTTATGGTGATTCTTATACAAACCACAATTATGTAAGTAATAATATTTGTAATTCTAATTTTAAAATATTTTATCAGAATGTAGTAAAACAATTAAATGTAAATGTATTAAAACTAAGCTAATTAACATTGGTGTGCTTTTCCAATGTTTTCCATTTATGATGTTATAGTTCAAACAGAAACCTGGGTATCGCCTGATATAAAAGACGCTGAACTGGGCTTCGTTGGCTTTCAAGTATATAGGCTAGACAGAAATCCTAATAACAGCTCTTTTTCCCGTGGTGGTGGTGTTCTAATTGCTATAAAATCCTCACTTAAATCTCATCCTTTTCCTTTAAATATCTCGAATGTTGAGCAAGTCTATGCCTTAGTGTCCATTAACACAAATAATTTTCTGGTTGGCTGTGTATACCTACCACCTGTAGCACATCTTACAATAGTTGATTCTCATCTCTCCTCTGTCGAAAACGTCTTATACCGGCAATAACAACAGTAGTCTAGGCCAACCAGATCAATTCAAAACATTCAACTCAGATCATTATGGCCAGTTCAACTGCGTATTTGGTATTTTGAGTAATTAACAATTAGTTTTTAATTTTTAATTTACTTCCAATTATTACTTTTCTATTTTTTTTTATTTATATATTTAAATTTCCAATCAATATTTTTTTTACCTTCTTATTGTATAATATTAAGTGGTAAATGAGCGATAATGAGGAAGATACTGCTGAATCTAGTATCTCTAACCCAGTCCCAACACCACGTCTTAGTCTACCTATCAGATTCTCCAACCCAGATAATTCACATTCAGGACGTCCTATAGCCCTTTTATCCTCAGAATCTTTTGAAAATAACGAATCCTTCTTACTAAATTTTAGTCAAACCTTAGCTGAAGTAGATAGGACACTAACTTTAACTGATAGCAAAATTAATGACGACCTATTAAATCAAACCATAGCACCTAACTTGGGGGCAACCAAACATTATTAGAACCTAGTAAATTAACAGAAAGTTCGTCGAGTTTAAATATCCAAAGTTCACCACAAATAGCAGAACCTTTATCCACATCGGACAGAGAGGTGGACAGAATTGGATTAGAAACAGCACTAAAATTATTACCGGCAACATTCAGTGGCATCAACCAAGAAGACTTAGAAGTCTTCCTTGAACAATGCGAGTTTGCGATCATGTGCGTAAACGATCGTGCGAAACCTAGATTATTACAAGGAATCATGATACGGCTGACAAATAAAGCTCGAGCAGCAATCATATTTCTTACCATTAATAGTTGGAACGAGCTCAAGGAGACGTTAAAAAACACACTGGAACCTAAACGCACAACAACTCATTTATATCTAGAGCTGTACTCAAGTAAACAGAGACCAAATGAAGACGTGGCTTCGTACTTTTCACGAATAGAACCATTACAGACACTCATCCTGGAACAGGAAGCCAGTGGAAAAACGTTAGAAGCAGCCACAGCTTTAGAGAATAGTTTAAAAGCCCAAACAATCCAAGTATTCATCGAGGGACTTGGAAATCTCAAAGGCTTTATAATAGCAAGAAACACTCCTACCTCGAACAAGGCCATACAGGCAACCCACGAAGAAAGAGTAAGAAAATCTCTCGAAGAATCCAAACGATTTTATGAAGTACCTAACAAGCAGCAAAACGGTAAAACCCTGAACGAAAAACCAAGTACACCATGTTTCCACTGTGGGAAAATGGGGCATTTTGCACGGGATTGCCGGACACAACAAAGTACTTCAAACAGTGGTAATTCAGCAAATCATCCACCCAAGGCAATAGTTAACACTATCACCTGCAGATACTGCAAGAAACTCGGACACACGAAGGAAGTGTGTCGGAAGCTAAAGTACGTTCACTCTAAAAAAGGAATAGAAACTTCAGAAAATTCATCGAAAAATCAGGGAAACCAATCGCGGTAGGATGTCAACGGCGGACGTCCAGCAAGCAGTATAAAAACAGCTGCAGTCACTTTTCAACATTCGTCTTAATGCCCGCCATTAAACAAAAATTCGACGACAACCACATTACCTGTCAAAGCTTTCAGACCATTAAACAATCTATCCGATTTCTGCTTGATTCGAGTAGTGACTTAAATCTAATTAAACTTTCAGCTCTCAAAATAGACGTAATGGTATATGATAAAACCATTTGGCAACTAAAATTAATTACAGAACATTGTATTCATACGATAGGCTCTGCAATTATTGAAATACAAGTTGGAGGTGACAAATGAATTGTTGAATTTCACGTGTTCAACCAACATTTCCAGTGCCACATGACGGCATATTGGGAAAGCTTTTCATCGTCCGACAAGGAGCGATTGTAAATTATCAAACCAATGACTTAACACTCACGGAACAACATTACACTTCAACCGTGTACAGAGACTATTGTGGTAGTTCCAGCTCCAGATACAGCAGAAAATATACAAATACTTGTTGACAATCAAAAAATAACAGTGACTGTTACATATACCACCGTAAGAAATAAATCCATCTTTATATCACTAATAAATTTGACAGAAAATCCTATTCAAATTCAAATCCCTAATCTAGAACAGTTAGTTCAAGAATAATATAGCAAAGCTTACGTTCACACAACACAAATTCAAGAACAATCAGAAACTCGTGTAGGATGTAAAAGAATATACCGTTTACACGAGGCCCTGCGGACAGATCATCTTAATGTGGAAGATAAATCTGCCTTATTGTCTATCTGCAACGACTAAACGGACATATTCTTTTTGGATGGTGACAAAATTAAGGCGACTACGGCGATTGCACACGAAATCAGAACCTCAGAAGCGATGCAACCAATAAATAATAAACTGTATCGTTTGCCGCAACGACATCGGCAGAAGATAACCGACCAGATGGAAGCACTAGAAAGGGATGGTGCAACCACTCCCAGTGATTCACAGTGGAATGCCCCTCTTCTAGTTGTACCAAAAAAAAAACCGACATCAATGGAAAAGTCAAGTACCGAGTCTACATAGACTTCCGAAAATTGAATCAAGTGACAGTGGGAGGAGATGCTTTTCCGCTGCCAAACATCACGGACATTTTAGATCAGCTTGGAAAATCAAAGTATTATAAGACTCTTGATTTAGCCCAGGGGTACCATCAGGTACCTATGAACCCTGCAGATCGAGAGAAAACGGCTTTTTCGACCGACAAAGGTCATTACGAATTTTCACGAATGCCATTCGGACTGAAAGGTGACCCCGGAACTTTCCAACGATTGATGAACCGAGTACTCATAGAATTAAATGGATTAAAAGAATTTGTGTACCTCGACAACATAATAGTGTACGCTAAAGATCTCTCTGACCATTCACAGAAACTTCACAGAAAATTTTCAATGGGCTTAGAAAATACAATTTAACACTTCAACCGCTAAAATGCGAATTCCTCAGAAAGGAAGTAACGTATCTAGGACATCAAATTACGGACGAAGGCGTAAAACCAGACCCCCAAAAGGTGGAATGCGTTCAATACTTTCCTGCTCCACAAAACGTTAAAGAGATTAAGTCTTTTCTTAGGTTGTCAGGATGCTACCGACGATTCATCCAAAACTATGGCCAAATCGCAAAGCCCTTAACATCATTACTCAAGAAGGATGTCCCGTATAGGTGGAGTGATTTGTGCCGGCAATCGTTTGAAACATTAAAAGATTCAAGAAACCGGAAAACAATAAGTAATACTTTCGGAAGACCCTCAAAAATTTTTAGGAACTCGACCAGAACTTCCAGAGTATTCAGAGGATTCACACTCACAGGAAACAGATGAGTATGCAAGATTCCTAACAGCTGACTCTAAAAAAAACTACTCCAAATGTTCTTGAAATCTCAGGAAACATTTTTGACGAAGAGTTAAATTCATCTCTAGCAATATGTGTATCAGCAGATATCAAGATGACACAAAGCATAGAGTTAGCCATCTCTACTGGTGTTAGTGCATTAAATTCATCTTTACTTAAACATTCGACTTCGTATAATGTGCAAAGCGTAAATTGTTTAACTAACTTAGCCGATAAAGGTATCTTTCCATACTCCGAATTTTCAAAAAAATCTCCTAAATTATTCTCATAGATTTTTTGTAATATTCCTATTAATTCTGTTGCATTTAATACTGAATTAAAGTGTTCGTTTAAACAAAAAAATATTTATTTTGTTACTTTAGTAACCTGATTATTAGTGTTTCGTTTAATATAAAATTTGACATCCATTAAGAATTATTAGACCAATAACTTCACATAAGATTCGCATGACCACCAACAATAATTTCACAACACAAGGGGTGTACCTTAGAATCGAAATTTTTCTCGAGAAAAAATAAAATATTATTTCCAAAAAAAAATCGGGACTCCAGGGACGGGCGCCTCCACCAACTGTAACGTCTTCTCTTCACCTGGGGCTCGCATCCCTCTCGGTGTCGTTCTGTTTTTATTAACGAGGTCTCGGAAACTAGACCTCGGTGTGTGATATTATTACTAGGGATCAGGGTCACCTTATGTAAAGCAAAGTACTCAACGTATATAGTATATAATATATATATAAATATGTAACTGTTATTAACTATCAAATCTTATAATATATCGAACATCAAATAATAATTATTAGATATACTTATAAAATATAACTGAGGGTTACCGATCGGGCCATGATGTGTCGACGTGTCGTGGGTGCTGATATCCGATGAGAGTTGAGCTGGCCGTCCACAGGTCCTCTTCAGGTCGTTGTCAGCCCTCGACGTCCACTGTCGACCATCCACTATGACTATTGACTCTTAACTCGTGACTCTAGACTCGTTCCCTCGACTATCGACTGCCACTACTGACTCTTTCTATTTACCGCCAGGAGTCCCGGTCGGTTATTAACACGACGTCAGCTAAACATAGCGTTAGCATAATATATATTTCATACATATAATATACACTTTTTCCATTACTAACACTCAGCATATTAGTCGTGCTAAACGTAGGGAGTAATGTACGATGTCGATGACGACATGTTCGTTACACCAGTAACCGTCGCAATGGTTAATTTGAATGGGGGCTGGGCTGCTCAACAGCTCCTGGATCAGACGGCCGCTCAAAAAAACATTGATGTCCTCATCCTGAGCGAATCATAAGCAAGGGGAATGGTTGGGGGAAATATGTGTCACAGCCTTGACCAAAAAGCCTCCGTAGGCACCACCTCTGGAACTGGATTTGTCCTCGACGACTCTAGCTCTGGGAATGGCTACGTGTGGATCAAACTGAACGACCTCATCGTTTTCAGCTGCTACTGGAGTCCGAACACCACCCTGGCTGAATACGAAATCTTCCTCGGGGACCTAGACCAGGCCATCCGTGCCAGGGGAGACACCAGACTAATTTTTGCGGGTGACTTCAACGCGTGGAACGTAGAATGGAGCTCCCGGGCGGATAACCCGAGAGGTGAACTTCTCTCAGACCTGGCGGTGAGCCTTGACCTCATACTCTCCAACGTCGGGGACACCCCTACCTTCGTTAGGGGCGAAGCCACCTCCATCATCGACGTCGCCTTCTCAAGAGGAGTGGGGGTCTATGTGTGGTCGGTCCTCGATGAGCTCAATCTAAGCGATCACGCTTATATCACGTTCTCAATTGACCCCCGAGCGCCGACCCGCACCCTCGATGGCCTCAAGTTGACGCACCACCCGGTTTCCACCCTGGCTGGGCTCTCAAGAAACTTGACCGTGAATCTTTCTACCGCCACGTCACCTCAAGGCCCCTCACCCTTTGACGGGATGGGGAAGGGGGAAATTCCGCGGTCAGAGCAGCAGAGTCACTCGACAACTACATTTTCGAATCCTTCAATGCCCTTGAGGTCCCCATGGCCTGGGGGGAGGAGTCCAATGTACTGGTGGAGTGATCACATTGCTGACCTCAGATCAACAGCCCTCTCCCTACGCAGGACCTACCAGTCCCTCCTCAGAAGGCACGGACCAGAAGGATCTGCTGAGGCGAAGGCCAATTTTGCAACAGCAATTAGAGATCTGAGGAGAGCGATCCAAAAATCCAAGGAAAAAGGGTGGTGGGACCTTTGTGCACAAATTTACATTAATCCCTGGAATCAGCCCTACAAGCTAGTCATGAAAAAGTTTGGCGACGGCTCTTCTAGACCCGCTTCTAAAGGGTGCGAGCAGGTAATCGCAGACCATCTCTTTCCTGCCGCCCCAGTCACCGACTCGCGACTGGGACCTCATGCCAGAGCCAGCGGTTAGGAACATCTTTGACAACTTCGACCCCGATGCTGATGAGCTGATATTCAACAGGATCATCCCTGAGTTCACCATAGAAGAACTGATTATGGCCACAAAAAAAATGTCTGCTGGCAAGGCGGGGGGCCCATCAGGCATACCCAACGAAATATTGAAGAGGATCGTCGTCGCTCGTTCCGGAGCCACTCTGAAAATCTACAATGAGTGTCTCAAGGTGCTCACTTTTCCCTCCAACTGGAAAAAGGCTAAGCTGGTTCTATTGCACAAGGGCCCTGCAAACCGGTAGAAACTCCTTCTAGCTTCCGCCCCATCTGCCTACTGGACACTCCGGGCAAGCTACTAGAGAGGCTTCTTCTTCAGAGACTGGACACACACCTAGACTCTAGTCGGTCAGGGCCAGCCTCAAATCTGTTTGGTTTCCGAAAGGGAATATCAAAGGTGTCAGCTGTCGAGGTCGTCACAAAACTTGCCTCCCAGGCGGAATCTGGCACCTGGATTAAGATAAACCTTCAACTCACTTCAGTGGCTGGTTATTGATGAAGCCCTTAGGAACAAGGACCCTCCGGATTACTTGGTACTCATGATCCGATCTTGGCTATCAGAAAGACAACTACTCGTCGGAAATCAGGGAGACATAAAAACAGTGACTTGCGGCGTCCCACAGTGTTCGGTTTTAGGGCTGACCCTGCGGAATGTGGCATATGACTACCTGCTGGATATAGAAGTATTACGGGGCGTCCAACTGATCGGCTTTGCAGACGACTTGGCTGTGATCGGAGTCGCCAAGACGCGGGAGGAACTGGAGGAACTGGTTAATCCTACCCTTGAGAAGATTGATCAATGGATGACAAGTAGAGGCGGCTACAACTGGCTCATCACAAGACTAAGGCCGTGATGCTAACAAAAAAGTGGGCTTACAACTCACCTTGCCTCAGCATTCAACTGAGGTATCTAGGTGTTATATTGGACTCGTGGCTTTCCTTTGTAAAGCACCCTGAGACTGTAGCTAAGAAGGCGGCCAACTCGGCCCTAGCCCTCTCACGGCTAATGCCAAATATCAGCGGCCCTTGTCAGTGGAAAAGGAGACTCCTGGGGTCAGTAGTTTAGAGCCAACTACTATACGCTGCTCCAATATGGTCCACGGCCACATCAAGAAGAATCTTAAGGTGACCTCAGAGAGTTGCCGCCCTTAGGGACATAAGGGCCTACAGAACGGATTCAGACGAGGCTGCCTTTGTGCTAGCCAGCATGCCTCCAGTGGATCTCCTAGCAGAAGAAAGGTCTAGGATAAAAGCCAGGCAGGCTGAAAACCCTGCACCGGTCAACCCCTCACCTACGAGATCCAATATTAAGAAATAGCAGAGGATGGTCACCATCGCTGATTGGCAAAGGAAATGGGCAGAAACCGGCAAGGCGTCATGAACCCGTCGTCTCATTCCGAATATCGTAAGATGTGAGAATAGGACGACCCCTAGGATCCCTTGGTCATACCACATGACGCAGGCTCTAACCGGACACGGGTAATTTCAGTGGTATCTGCGCCGCATGGGCAGGGCTTCTAGCCCTCTCTGCATGCACTGCCAGTGTGGCTCAGACACAGCGGAACACATCATCTTCCGCTGACCGAACTAAGACAGCCTACGAGATGAGCTACGTACTCGCCTGATCCACCCTCCCGAAGCCACCGACGGCGAGAGCATCCTGTGTGGCCCTCTCTTCGAGGACTTCCCAATGGATTAGACAGATAAGGCAACGGTCCTCAATAAAGCAGAAGAGACTTTCAGACTCTTCTACAAAATGGTAGAAGAGATTCTGCCTCTCAAGGAAGTCGAAGAAAGGGCGAGCCAGGTGGCGGACGCCGTGGCCGACTTACTCACAGAACGAGACTCGAGAGCGGCGGGCAGGCTCAAGAAAAGGCACGGGGACGAGAAGTCTAGGATGGCTGGTTTGACAGGTCCGAGAAGACACCAATACTAAATTAATCAAACAATATGTAAAGGGATGATCTGGGGCTTGCCTCGGCCGTCCTATGCAGCCATGTTAATGTAAATTTTGTAAGGCATCATGGAGCTTGCGGAATATACATTGTACATACGCATGTACAAGCTGCGATTCATGCTAGCCGGAATCATATGATGTATACTATAAATAAACGATTTTGCATGGGGGCCAAGTAATGTGATAAACGTGCGGCTCCCATGTAATGGTGTAAAAATAAAAAAATAAAAAAAGATTGTAATGTGTCATCTCTGCAATTTTGCTTCCATTATAAATGTACAGGTAACTATATTTAAATTACAGTGTGTGCAATTTTATGTAACTAATTATACTGGTTGTATTACTGTATTTTTTAATTTTAAATGATTGCGTAAAAAACCTTCAAAAGCGTTATTTATCCCTTTTTAATTATAACTAGGGCTAGTGGCTTCATGCCCTTAAACCCCTTAAAATATGAATTTATTTATGCCATAAAAACTAGCTAAATTTCCATTATAAACCGAAGCATTTAGACTGCGATAAATATATAGATAGGTACCTATAAAAAATATATCATAAAAAATGTTGTCATACGTTTAAGTAGCGTCTTTTTTTTAGATCTTCCTGTTATACCTTGTATATAGATTGTGGGTCTGGGGTCTGGGAATTCTTTATAATTTGTGCACCCAAAAAAATATAGGTCTAGTTGTGCCTATGGTATTAATATACGTAAATAATAATATAAATATGAGTGAAATATTTGTTGACAATATTATTATTGTGGAAAAAAATGCACGGGCAACGTTAACGACTTTTTATAGCACGGAGCTCATCGTTGAAGTGTGAGAAAATTATACTTATTGCAAAATGAACACGGAAACGAACAATTTTTTCTGCAAAGGCTCTACGCTACTGTGTTCCGCCGGGATATTAAATGACCATAAAATTATCTTATATTGTAGTAAACAACATACTTCGAAAAAAAAACCATCATTCCAACACTGAGTATAAAATATTTTTTTCGTCCATACATACATAAATCACATATAATTCCAAATATTGTAAAAACGTGTAAAATTACTAACATTTAAAATTTAAAATTAAATATGTAGAATATATACGTCGTAACTTATAGTATAATTCAGATTTCAGATATACTACATTTGATCAGATTTGATTTAACTTGACTGAAAGCAAAGCTGCATATCAATTAAATTCAGTCCTTAAACTTCTTATAAGTTATAAAAAATAAGAGCTGTATCCTAAACGAACGTTACCCCGGCCCCCCCCAATTCGATTTTTGCAATTTTTTTTGCGCCAATTTTTAGTGCTCAATTCCTGCCAATTCCTGCCGCAAACCCCGGAATTCCTGCTCTAACGGTTTTCCCGGAAAGTCGAATTTTCCACGGGTGGGGCTGGGGTAACGTTACTCCAGCCCCACCCACCTTCTAAATTTGACTTTTTGCAATTTTTTTTGCGCCAATTTTTAGTGCTCGATTCCTGCCAATTCCTGCCGCAAACCCCGGAATTCTTGCTCTAACGGTTTTCCCGGAAAGTCGAATTTTCCACGGGTGGGGCTGGGGTAACGTTACCCCAGCCCCACCCACCTTCAAAATTTGACTTTTTGCAATTTTTTTTGCGCCAATTTTTAGTGCTCGATTCCTGCCGATTTTTGCCGCAAACCACGGAATTCCTGCTCAAAAACCACCCCCGTAAAAATTAAAAAACTATATTTGCGGCGGGGGAAACGTTTTTCCAACCCCCCAAGGTCGGAATTCGACCTTTTTAACTTTTTCCAACGCCAATGTTTAGTGCTCAATGCCTGCCAATTCCTGCCGCAAACCCCGGAATTCCTGCCCAAAAACCGCTCCCGTAAAAATTAAAAAACTATATTTGCGGCGGGGGAAACGTTTTTCCAACCCCCCAAAGTCGGAATTCGACCTTTTTAACTTTTTCCAACGCCAATGTTTAGTGCTCAATTCCTGCCAATTCCTGCCGCAAACCCCGGAATTCCTGCTCCAACGGTTTTCCCGGAAAGTCGAATTTTCCATGGGTGGGGCTGGGGTAACGTTACTCCAGCCCCACCCACCTTCAAAATTTGACTTTTTGCAATTTTCTTGCGCCAATATTTAGTACTCATAACCATAATATATGACAATATTAAATATTATTGGCGTCATTTCACTTTTTGTTAGACTAGGGCAACAATGCAACATGTCACAGATTCGCCACTCAACATTTTTTTTACGTACATATTCCTATAGCATAATAATTCTTACTTGTATAAAGTACCCACTTTGCAGAGAGGCATTGGTTAAAATAAAAATACTATCCTATTGATACGTAGCTTAAGTCAGATTGATAATTATGCCTTACATATTATAATAAAATAATTTAAAAGGAAATTTATATTCTATAGATTAGTTTTTTTCAACTGTATTCTTCATCTAATTTATTTTCAAAGTCCAATATGTCAAAAATACAACCGGGTTCTTATTATTTTGGAAATTTAGAAAATGTAGAATGTAGATATTTTAGTGTAAAAAACATTTAATCCATAAGTCATAGTCATTATACTACAATTTTCAGTATTTAGTTGTATTATTGGATTTTTAAATGGTTGGTCCTAACAATACTGTGCGACTGTGCTTTTTAAAAAAAAAATATATAAAATACTAATTCTAGTCATCTCCTTGAAATGGGAGTATTTTTTTCATTTTCCTCGTTTGTTAAAAAGTTAAGATCCAACACTGCCCACTGTCCTTCTACAGTAAAAAAAATCTGCAAAGCGCAATGGCTATATATCTCCCACCTAAGAAAATTCACCCAGTTTCTATTTTAAAAAAAACTTAAAAAAAAACACTTGTCTTTTGAATATAACTAAATATAACTCTACAAAAATAATAAAATAATATAAAAAAAAACAAACTCAACTTTAAAAAACAATTGGCAGGCATTGAGCACTAAACATTGCAGTTGGAAAAAGTTAAAAAGGTCGAATTCCGACCTTGGGGGTTGGAAAAACG